CCCGAGTTTGTGCTGTCTCACATCTTGCACAATGGTTGTGTCCTAAGCCATTTGTCACTCTATGGATCAACACAGTCACAGCAGTCATTAAAATTAAGCACTCAACACACAGGCCTTCCTTCTTGTTTAGCTTTCACTGAACGTTGGTCTTTCTAGTTGCTTCAAATAACTTTTCTTTGGTGAGGGTTGATGAAGGCTCACATAGCCCTTTGGCAGGAGGTTTCATGTTTGATAGAAAGGAAAGGAGAGAAAAAAATGGATCTTTCAGAACAGAAAATTAAAATTGTGCCACATAGTCTCCTTTTGCTTTCTTTTTCTGTCCCCAGCAGTGTGTGTCACAGGAATTTATATTTTATAAGATGGTTTCCTAATCAGGACATCATGAGATAATTATATGATGCTGTTATAAAAATGTGGTTTTTCAGAACACATGGACAATATTTTAACTTCTATTATCAAATAAAGGCCCCTAGCACCTTACTTTATTACTTTTCCGGTGGTAAACACTGCTCATATCTAGGCAACATTGAAGGCAATCTTGTAAGAGCTAATAATGTTTTGCTAACCATTTCATAAGTGTTCAAAACTATCAAATACATAAATAGGTAGTCTGAATATTATATTACTATCTTTGTATATTGTATATTGCCATTTTAACACAGTGTGTTCATTGTCTGACTTCACCTCTGGGTGATCTTTGAGACCCTTTCAATATGAAGGTAGACAGCATGTGAAGTTGATCAGAGGCTGAAATGTTCCAGCCTTACAAGAGCTAGGAGTATGGCAGACGGCCCCACAATGCCACAGTGCAGTCCAAGAGGCTGCTGTCAGTCTTTGTGACAGTGGAGATCTGTTGCTGGTTTCCATGGAAACACACATTGCGACAGTGCATCTGAGCTCTTTGTAATGTACCCTCAGAGTTTAAACACCTGTGTGTGCTTTGTAGTTCAATCACAAATGTTTGTGGCAGCTTGGTTATTTTAAGTGGCTTCAGAGCTTGAATATAGATGTTTCCTTTAACACATTCACTGTAAATAGCTATGGATTGAATCTTTGACTTAGGTTTCTTTTCTGAATATCTTGGGTGCAAACAGTTTTATCCATTAAAAGTAGATTCCATTTGGATGTATTATGGGCGAGGTAATACTTTCGGTAGTTTGTGATTGAATCTAAAATCAGTTCCCCAAAAGAATTTCATGTATTTTCTTTGAAGTGATTGGAACAGTGTGGCATTCAGCAACTACAAGCTCTGTAGTGTCCTCCCTGACTACAGAAACTCCCATGTGCTTTTCCAGCTTCATAGGAACCTAATTTTGTTGAATTGTCCAGATTGGCCACATCATCACTTTTTATACACAGCTAAATGTTTGCATTCAAAGATATTATACAGGTTTGGATTATACTTGGCTCTAATGTAATATTTATCCTTTTTTTTTTTTAAAGCCACCCACGGTTATATCAGCAAATTCTTCTGGTAACAACGTGTCCTCTTCAGTAACTAGTGGCCTAACTGGATGGGCAGCTTTTGCTGCCAAAACATCTTCGGCTGGGCCGTCAACAGCAAAACTGAATTCAACAGCACAAAACAACAGTGGAAAACCTGCTGCCTCATCAGCTACCCAGAAGCCTGTGGGTTTGACTAGTCTGGCAACATCATCCAAAGGTGGAATCGGTTCCAAAATGGGTTCTGGTAACTGCTCTTCCCCCACTGTACCATTAAAACCACTTCCACCTCTAACCTTAGGCAAGACTGGCCTGAGCCGCTCAGTTAGCTGTGATAATGTCAGCAAAGTGGGCCTTCCCAGTCCTAGTAGTTTAGTACCTGGAGGCAGTGGGCAGTTGAGTGGGAATGGAAATAGTGCTACTTCGGGGCCCAGCGGAAGCACCACAAGCAAAACCACGTCAGAACCCAGCAACAGTGCCTCAGCGTCTCTTAAAGGCCCAACTTCACAAGAATCACAGCTCAACGCTATGAAGCGATTGCAGATGGTCAAGAAGAAAGCTGCCCAAAAGAAACTCAAGAAGTAGTGTGGCCAGATAGGTTTTTATATCAATTATTGCTCTAAAGATTAAAAAAAATATATCCTTATTGGGACAAAAGATATAATATACTATAACTTAATAAAAATCTTGAAGATCAAATCTCTATTGTTTGTTACATTAAAATGCTAATAATATTTAGCCAAACTTGCAACCATTTATTTTAGTCTGTTTAGCATTTTTATCTTATAATGTCCATAATGTGTGAAAATGTGATTATGATGACTGATTCATGATGAGAACTTCGGAAGATTGATTTCTTTACATATGCAGATGTAAAGAAATGGTTCACCTGGCACAATACCCCAGGATTTAAAACTCCTAAAATAAGGTACCTTCCGGGTGACAGGGCTTACTCAATATAGTGTTTTATAATATTCAGTTCTCTGCCTTATGGGGAGATCTCCCTCTCTCTCCCTCCTGTGAACTCTAGCCATAACATCATCCTGCATGAGGTGGTTCATATCGTTGCCTGGTAAGCTAATGAGTTAGTCGGCCATCAGTTCACATATATATCCCAACAAAGAACAATGCTTTCAGTGTCAGATCAGTATGTGTATTACAGCAGAATGCTGCATCCTTCTTACAATTGGCGAACACCTCATCCTTTCCCTAAACCAAATCCTATAATTTCCTATAGTCAATGAATTGAATTGCCTTATCACCCTAGATGTGATACATCTACAAAATCTAATCTCAAAGAATTTTCCTTTATCCCTAGGTTTCCTAACATCATTATTCTAAAATAAATTGGTAAATATGTAAAGATAAAACTTAAACTTCGTCTTTTTTTCTGTGGAAAAATTTTTAAACTACTCTGTTAAATATTGCCATTAATTTGTTCATAAGTTAGACCCCAGTACCGAAATAAACCCATTATTTAGAGACGGAATAAATATCTTGGACATGCTTAAAAATCTACCTGTAAATGTTTTTGTTTTGAGAAACACCTTTCTGTTGATAAAAATTGTTTTGGTATAAACTCCAAATCCACTTTATAAAGAGTTCAGAAAAGTTTGTTGTTTGTAATTCAAGTGCAATTTTGACTTCACAAAGTGATGTGACACAAGCTTATATCAGAAGTTATTCCAGTCACTCACTATCTTGAAAACATTAGGGAAATAATGCTCAATGCAGTTTACCTATCAGTATTTGAAGTGAAAATTCTTACCCATCACAGAAAGTGTGCTGGGGTTGAGAGAGGCAACTGTTTTGATTTTTGTGTCATTTCTTGAAAATTTTAATGAATTTAGAAAGTAAATTTTCTTTCAGTGAATATGATTTTTTGTATATGTAGTGTGTGTGTGTATGTGTGTATGTAAAGTAAGGGGCCAAACTCATTTTGATAATTTTTAAGAGATATATTTAATGTTAGATTTTTTTCTCAAATAGCTCTTAGGCCTTTATTTTTTTACTCATGGCAAAGTATGCCTCAAGAGGCAGTTATGAAAGTTGCAATAGTGTGTTTTAATTTGATTATGTATAACAAAACAAGTGTTTCTTGCACTCAGGTTATGTAAAGGGAAAGCTTGTTTTCTCTTGACTAGCCCTGAAATTGGCAGCTCTCTGTCTGTTGGCTCAGTGAATGAGTGGACAAGTGAGTAGATGTCTTAGTTTTCTGTTGTGGTAAGTATCTGACAGAAGCGACTTAAGGGAGAAAGGGCTTATTTTGGCTCAGGCTCCAATGGGTAGAGTCCATTATGATGCTGAAGGCATGGCACAGAAGCATGAGGCCAGTTGATCAGGTTGTCTGGGCGGACAGGAAACAGGAAGAGGAAGTAGAGTGAGTCTACAAAACCGCAAAGCCCTCCCCCAGTGACTTGTTTCCTCCTGGGAATCTCAACTTCCTATAGATCCCATAACTTTCCCCAAAGCATCTCTAGATAGCAACAGAATGACCAAATACATGAGCTGATGGGAACATTGCACATTCTAACCAATGCAATGATCTTGTAAGTTTTTAGGATTGATGCAAACTGCCTTGCAGGCAGTATCCTTTTTATGTTCTTCATGTTGTACTTTATGAGATTGACCGTAGAATTTAGTGACTTAAAAAAATGGCACTGAAAGAATAATAGTCTTAAGATGAAATGACTTGAACCCTTTTGTGTTCATTTCTTGCTTTGCTGATTTTGTTTGTTGACTTGCTTTTTGAGACAGGGTTTCTCGGTGCTGCCTTGAAACTCACTTTGTAGACCAGACTGGCCTCTGCCTCTTGAGTGCTGGGATTAAAGGCGTGTGCCACCACCATCCAACCTGCTCAAGTTTCCTACTTTATAAGGCATAGTTCAGTTGAGATAAAATGCAAGATACTAATACAAATGGACCCTGGTTTATAATGCTTTCATTGTTTTTTTAGTAGCAGAAAATTGATATACATTTATTAGAATCTGCATTTCTAATTATCTTCCTGGGCTAGCATATATTTTATAATACTCTTCCATTTCTGAGCAGATGTAGCTTGCCGTACTTCATGTAATCATGCCAACAAGCAACTGGTGCTCTCCATGTGGTGATGACTTGCAGAACTCTCAAGATTTGTTAGTGGGTCAGGATATTTTAAACCCATGGTGACTGTATCAGGATGTCAATCCACTATAAATCAAAGCACACCTGTATTTAAAAGTTGGTTCCAGTTCTTAACAAGGGTGTGGTAGTAGTTTTATTAGTTACAAACTGTAAATTGTTATGACCACGGGGTTCACAGGAAACATCACTTGATAACAAACTGAAATTTCATCAGTACAGTCATCATAAATATCACAAGAAATTAATACATTCAGATGCCTTAGTGGAGGTTTAAGCAAAACAAAACTTATTTAGTAAAACTATAGTCTCAGGATTTATGAGCAAGAGTATCTCAATTCTAGTCTTTTCTAAAGTGTTATTTTCAAAATACTCAGGTTTACCTGCCTCTGACAGTAATGCCTAAGACATCTCAGCCTGAGCTCCAGGAGCCCTGAGGAAAGGTAACATGAACTAGAGTAGTTTTGTAGATCACATAAAAGTGATGAGTTCTTACATCTGTGTGTATATAGAGAGGGAAGTAGCTACAACATTAGATGTTACAAGTTGCATCCTAAATTTAAACAGGATCTTTTCCTACAGAATTCCAAGTTCAGTGTCTGTCTAGCCGGTGAACTGTAGTTACATCTTTATGACTACGATGTAAATGTCTAAGTTTGTTCAGCCTGAGTTTTGTGAGGTCTGAATGTTGAATGTGAGGTCACTAGTTAGCAATGAAGTGGGTATAATAGGAAGCTATACTGCCTAATATATTAGGAAGTTACTGCAAACGACCTAGAGGGTTTTATGTCTTAAGATTTTCTCTTTTTATTCATACAGCTGTGTGAGGTTAACGTGGTAGAAAAAAGTCTAAGAAGTGGACGAGAAAATCCAAGAATTTTTAATTCTATGATTCAGTAGCTGAAACACTCATTTTTGTAAATCACCCCAACTATGTTCATCCCAAATAGCATCAGGCATTTAAAAAGCAATTGCACAAAATCTGAATTATATTTTGGAAGGATTGAATGTTTAACATCCATCACACATTGCTCTATTACTGTGACTAACCATGTATCTGTCTTCGCCTCTACCCACCTTTCAAATTCAAGCTATTTTTTCTGAAATATAAAGAATGTTCCAGTAGTAGTTGTGTGACTTCATGATTTCACACAAATGACAATTTTATATTACTAGATGTGTATTTTATACTCACTACACTTTATTACATATACTAGTAGTTTTGAACATGTGCATTTCAAAATTGAAATGTAAATAAGATGCATATATTTTTATTTATTTTAAAAACAAAAATAGCCACAAAATCTTCCTCTTCATCTTGGTAAAATTAATTGCCCACTTCAGAGGATCTTATTCTGTACAATATTAATTTAAAGAGTAATATAACAAAATGCATTAGCTTGTGTAGTTGCAATTATACTGATGCAACCAATGGTTTCATCTTTTGAACTGCTTAAATACAAACATCCTATATGCTATCTTGAAAATTTGTTTTTTGAGGTCTAGTAAAATAATGTATAATTTTAAAATTACAATTTATTGATGTGTGTGTGTGTGGGGTCCTTCTATGTCCATGTCCTTATGTCTTATGTCTATTGATTTTAAGGAAAGTAAGTAGAAAATGAAGGTGTTATGTAGTTTTTCAGAGCTCATTTGTAGTAACGTGCTCATCATGATAGGAAAGTTGCAATCACTGGCTTCATAATGGTTCTTCCTCTGGAGCTAACTGAAGTGTTGATTGTCCTGGTGTAGATTTTTCAACAGTCAGACGGGATGCATCACTCCTAGGCCCACACCAGTAGACAAAGTTGCTCCTGCATGTAATCACCTATTTCAGCCAGAAATCTGTGCTATTGATATAATTTGTGCTGTTGATATAACTATTTTTGTGTGAAACACTGACGCTCAATGTTACATACAGGTGTGCAGGTACACGCTGCACTGTGTAAATTATGCCTCTGAACATTGTCATAATGTCCTTATGTAGCAACTTTCAATTTCTTTTTGTTTAACCTTAGGCAAACAAATTTATGTTTTAAAAATGAATTCAAGGGCAATTACAAAAAAGATTTAAAGTCTCTAATATCTTTTAGAAAATCTTTTGTTATCCTACTTAAAAAAGAAAGCAGTCTGTGCAAAAGCCACGTTAGGAAAATTTTATAAAGCTGTTTTCAAGAATTCCGTAGTAGTACAAACTTTCCTTCATATAAGGGAAGAGGGTATGACATTCAGTCAGCTGCAGTAGAAGTAAAACTTTTTATTTTGTCATAGATATTGCTCAGTTATAAATGCAGAGTAATATATGTACATCAAATGGATCTAATCTCTCCAAGTAAGAAATCTTAAAATGTGTCATTAGGAATTTTATGGGCAATTAAAATCTACATTAATTATGAGTCACCGCTAAATCAAAATTACGAAGATCACTGTTACATGATCCTCTAAGCACACTGTTTATTGCTAGTGTTCATCATGGTTTTAGTTCTCTAAATAGGACTGTCCTCTTCGGACTGTAAACTTCACATGGCAAGGCACTGTGTTGATTTGAACTGTGCTAAAGCCTTCAATCTACCAGGATGCCTGGTAAGCAGCAGATATGCAGTAATGCTGACCAAGTGAATGCATGCCAGACATTTGCGTCTTCATAAAACTTCCTCTATAGAGTTGTTTCATCCAATTATTTTTGTTTTCCTCCTCTACTTCTGAACGCTCTCCCTGGCTCATGTCCTCCCTGTGTCTGTTCCACTTTATCTATTCTCATCCAATCACATGTCGTGATTGAATGAATATGCCTGAAATTTTGGAGGCCAGTTCTCTGAGCAGAACCCAAGTTAAAACACAATGCCCTGAGCGTGGGGGTTATAGCTAGTTTGTGTGAGTACAAACAGGCCACTAAAGCATTTACATTTTTGTCTCTGAAGTGGAATGCACATTCCATATGCATCTCCAAATCATTAAGGAAAACATTTCCTCATTAAAGTTTCATCAGTAATCATATACAGCAGCTTTAAGACAATTTCATACATGCTTAAACACAACAATAAAAGTACAAATAATAAATCTGGATACTTCATTTTTCTCTCCCAGGCTTGTATGGAAGTCTTTGGAAGCTATTCATTTTGAAAAGCTGTTAAATATTGAAATGTGGATCTGAGAATGATTTCCTCCAGGCCCATTATTTACATCACTGATTTGTATTCAAAGAGTGTATGATGTAATCATTAGGAACAGAGACCTTGAAAGCATGCACCTCTACCACTTGCAAGCAATGTTTATTCTTTATGTTGTATTAAATTATATAAATAATCTAAAGCAATGTCTACCATGTGGTATACTTTTAGTAAGTTTTGGATATTATCAATATTTTGTTTCCCTTTTGATTAAAAATGCATTAAAATTGGAAAGATTTCTAATTACCTGTTAATTATTTTTATGTGTAATTATTCTGTCATTTATAATACATATATATACAGATATGTATAATCTGTATCATACTCATCATGTATAAGCTGCAAAATATATATTATATATATAGCATGTGTGTGCAAATAAGATGTAAAAAATGTTTAAGGCAAGTACAGTAAAAAAAAAATTACAATAAAGTGAAAACCTTATTCTTTTACTCCTTGGTGTTGATAAACAAAATATATCTTTTAGAAAGATCTGTACCTTTAAATATGTAGTTGGAGTCCAGGCTGTCTATTCTCTGCTGTTTCTCTTGGTAATATCTATCAACAACTATTTTTTTATACATCAACAAAATCATCCTATTAGGAAGCAAGATTTTCCTTAAAACATGATGCACTGTTTCTGGTCTGAAGTTTCCGTGTCTGTTTCATGAGGTAGTCAATCAGTAACCTGCCAGGAAATGACGTCATTTTCTGCTTGTCTTCTTAAGCATACGTCATCTTCCCAAGGTAGTTAGCTGGCACGTAGCCTTTCTGTCCTTGGGCTTCCGCCAGCCACCACTCTTTATTCCCACTTAGATCACAAAACCTCAGTATATGGACTCTCTGGTACTCCTGGAGGCTGAGTTCATGGTCACTTCGTGCTTGGAAAGCATGAACTGCATAGAAAACCTAGACAAGAAAAAAAAAAAGACGTTATTGGAACAGAACCTAGAAGTTTGGAGAAACTGAACAGGTTTCTACCCTTTCAGAAGTGATGATAAGGGGCTCCTAGCTTTGAACAGTCACACAGTCCAGGACTTCCTGATGGATTTGGTAGGATATGACTATCAAATCCGTGGCACTTAAGAAAGAAGACACTCTTCCTAATTGGAAGGATTTTAGCCCGTGCATGCTTGAGGCAATTTGGCAGTTTCTGTAAAATACTTTCTCATGTCAGTTCTTTGAATCAATCGCTCAATCTCTTCTGCAGATGAACACGGACACATCATTTCTGCACAACATTTCTGGGTGTAGAGGGGGAACTTGGGGGGATGTGGAAATGTGTTGAAGAGTTAGAGAAGATAAACTCTAGACCCCCATAGTAAATAAAACTGTAGTCATTAAAACAGCAATATAGAAACTATTCACATTAAGTATTTTTTTAGTGTAAAATCGCAGCTGGAAGATGACTCGGTGGCTAAGAGTACATGAGCTTTTGCAGAGGACCCAATTTAGGTCCCGGCACCCACTTGGGAGTTTCACAACCAGTTGCTGAAATTCCAGTTCCAGAGTATCCAGTGCCCCTTCTGACTTGGAGGGTAGCTGCTCTCGCACATTCACATCCCAACACAGAGACACATAAAATTAGATGAATTAATGTATGTCTCGAATTACATTTCTCTGAAAAATGCTTCACAGTTGTTAAGTAAATCGGAAGACCTCTATTCAGTGTTGAAGTCATTGTCTATAAGGCTGCTAAAAGAAATGTTTTCTTATGATGGAAAATTAAGCAATTAACCAACACATTTGTATATTCATTTAATCAAACTTTATTAAAAGAAATTATGTCAGAACCTTACAACTCAGGTAAAGCAATATTGAATCTTTACAAAAGAAAACAACAAAACCACAGTGCCACCATCACCAACGATAAACTACACATAAGTGCTGGGGTGCGTCTTGAAAAAAGCGGTCTTTCATAAGGGACACGTTAATAAGGGAGGTTAGTATGCCACACCCACAAAGGTGGATACATGGAAAGGTGATAGGAAAAAAGGATGGAAAATTGAGGGCAGTGAAAAATGAATTGATGTCACTGAACTAGAAAAGAGATGACAGTGCAATGAGAGAGCCAAGGTTAGACTGTGGTTACATAAACCTTAATAAATCGCTTACCTCAATAAAACCCTGATGCCATGAACCGTTACTTTAACAAGGAGCCTGAGGCGGAATTCAAGGAAAGGAATCATATTGCTAGGGCCAGAAGGGGCTCCCCCACCAATTCTAAAGTACAGTCATCCCTTCTCAGTGAAAACCTAGCCAAAACGTACTATCCATGAACTAAACAGTTGACTTCATCAGACCAAAAAGAGTGCCTCGATATCAGATTTCGGGTCTCTACAATCGTGAGGACTTTGATGTTGGTAAGTCACCCAGTATCCGGTATTTTGTTAATGGCAATTTGAATGGTCCAAAGCGTGCCTCTCAGCTGGTCATGTATGCTGTGTGTACTGTAGAGTTCAAATCTTTAGTTGACCTAAAAGGTCTGGATATCATAAAGAGATTGTGGTGCATGCATGAGGATAAATCATTGGAAATGGATTGCGCTGTTTGAAAGTAAAGAAGAAACAGAATAGAGGAGCTATAAATTCTTAATGAAATTTCAGCAGTGATAAATACCTTTTACTGAGTTTGTAACAGTTTATGTCACATGAGCTGCATCCTCAACAACCCTCTCAGTTAAGACTTAGAAACAGTCTTACTCATAAGGCTACCCAGAGCTGCTAGGCCCCATGTTTTCTAACTCCCAGTCATGTGTTTGATCAATTTCTTTTAGGGTTTTAGGAATCAAACTCCAGTTCTAAGAAAGAAAAGAACAGTGTATATTTTGGAGAAAGGGTCTGTGGTCTCTCCTCTGTCCCTACTGTTCTGCAGTTTTGAAAGTGACAATATTGACTAGGTCCAAAAGATTAGTGTGGTTAATTTGGTTTGCAAAAGCGGCCAGGAGTGTGACGTGCTAAATTATAGTGCCAGAGTGATCTATAGGAGCTGGAATCAGCAGTGTGATCATCTTTACAATTTGAATCAATAATAAATATGCTTCTTTAGCTCAGGCATAGATTTTTCAGAAGGATAGATTAGTTACTGTCCCATTCCTCAACACTGTGTGGTCTTTCACTTTGGAACAAATTTCCTCAAAGGGAAAATAAAATTTAATTAGATATATTTATGATTATAATATGTATTTTGTTGTGTTTTTTTTGAGACAGAGTCTCACTGTGCAGTCATGGTTTGCCTAGACCTCACTATGTAGATCAGACTCATCTTGAATTCATAGAGATCTGTTAACCTCTGCCTCTAGAGTGCTGGAATTAAAAGTGTGTGCCACCATACCTGACTTAAAATATATAATTTAAACAAATATAAATTCTCATGAAATCAGAAATTTAAAATACAAAATTATGTAACACTTTTAAATTATCATGGTTCAAATTTGTTTTAAATTGGCAGTTTCTAGTTCTTACATAACATGCTATATAAAGGTGTGCTTTATATGCTCAAAATGAGCCTAAGTCTGCTTTGAAAAAGAGAGTGTCTCTGGCCTTCTAATTATTTGTGTGCGTGCGTGTGCGTGTGTGTGTGTGTTAGATGAAAAATTAGAGGTTTTCAGCTTGTCATGAATTTAAGAACAGAGTGATTTCTTATTTTCAAATCTCAGTTCACACAAACTTTAAATGTGTATATGTTTTTGCCCATAAACATTCATTAAAATGCTATTAATATGGTTCATAATCATGTATTTCTTTTTTCATTGTTATTTATAAAATGTTTTGCTGATTGTTCCTTTGCTGCATTTCATTTTAAATATGATAATCTGGCAATACAGATCAGCTCTCCACAGCATTTGATTTAAGATCACTTAGACTCTCTCCGTGATTAGTATCCATAAACATCACACTGTTCCCTGTGGCAGCACTGCCACCTCAGCAGCCTCTTACTCTACATATTTGTGCATTTAATTTTTATTTCTTAACTTCACTGCATTGCACAATCTCATTTTAATTGATTTTATCCCAATTTTTCCAATTACAAACAATAAAATTCATAACATAGTTTAATTTTCCTTTCCCAAACCAGAAAGCTTTTAAAGCAACATTTACTGTATTAGTTCCAAAGCCAAAATAATTATTCTGCTTGAAACATATCATTCTTTTCTCTCACATACTAGAAGCAAGCTTTTATTTTCTTCATTCGATGATTATATATTTTTATTAACAGTGTAGATTTTATGAAGTAATCTAGGGTTTAATAAAATATTTTAGTATGGATTTAAACGTGAGGGTTCAGGGAAGAGTGCTCCCCAGAGACTAGAACACACCGAGTGCCTGGGTGCGGCTTTCACTAAGATGTTCTCGCTTTGGGGACATTAGAACGGTCATATATAGGACTTGGGAGAATTTGAAGCTACTGTCATAAAAGGATGTTAAGGAACCGAAGGGCACCACAGGTGGCGCTGGAGGAGTTCCTGACATGGTGATAACCGAGAGGACAAAGGTGGGTCACAGGAATGCTTGGAGGTAGGGTTATCCTCAGTGTAAACAAGTAGTTCTTATGGGGAAAAAAAAGCAGTTTCAAAAGTAAACAAAGAAAAACACCCACTTAAGTGCTATAAACATTTTTATTCCCTTTCTCTCTCCTCCCTCTCTTCCTGGAAAGGTAAGAAATGTGGAATTAGATATGTGACAAAATATTGTAAAACATTTCCATATCAAATATTCCCTTAGTCTTCATTCTAATGGATTACTTAAATACCTTAAGATCAATCTGTCACACAGTTGATGAACTTTCAAAGAAACAGCACATTCAATCACTGTCATAAGTACTTATAAAATGCAAAGAATGGATCACAAGAATGAGAAAACAACAAACTTGCTTAAAAATGTGCTCCATAGAAAAGAGCACATGCCAAGAAGCGCATTTTCAAAATAATTGAGGAAACCCTCTGAGGTAATGTGAATGAAAATGGTCCCTATAGGCTCATATGTTTGAATACTAGGTTCCCATTTAGAGGAGTTGTTTGGGAAGGACTAGGAGGTGTGGCCTGGTTGGAGGAGGTGTGTCACAAAAGCCTATGCCATTCCCAGTTAGGATAGTCATGGACTCTAACCTTCTGAAACTGTAAGCTGCAAATAAACTCTTCATCCATAAGTTGTCTTGGCTGTGATGTCTTATCACAGCAATAGAAAAGCAGATGTCCTTGAAAGCCATTCACCAACTTCTTATGCCCCAAGGTACAGGTTAAAGGCTTAGATCAACAATGGAAGTCACAGAGAACATACAAAATGAACTTGTTGTGGGATATTTGTACATTGTGTGAAGATGTATTCACTATGATTGGTTTAATAAACAGCTGAATGTTTATTAAGACAAGAGCTAGGCAAGAAGAGAGGACTCTGGGAACAAGAAAGGCAGAATCACCAGGAGATATGGAGAGGAAACAAGAGATACAAAATAGAAGAGAGGTAATACCATGTGATAGAACATAGATTAATATAAATGGGTTCTTTTTAAGGTGTAAGAGCTAGTTAGGAAAAAGGCCAAGCTTTCATAATTAATAAAATGTCTCCATGCCATTACTTGTGAGCTGGCCGGTGGGACAGGAAAAGATTTGTTACGTAAGCCAGTCTTCAGCTGTCTGTATCTCAGGATTCTCAAAGCCTCAGAGATGCCCCCTTAAAGTCAGGTAGAAGCCCTTCCTCCTAGTCATGGTTCACTTGAATCATCAAGAAGACTCCAGTACAGCCTAAAACTCCGTAGTATATGCTTCTGCATGCCTGGAGCATAATAAAAGGTACCACCCTGTAGGAAAGAGCAGAGCAAGGAACAGTGGCACCAAACACCACCCAGTTAAGTGGTATAGGTTACAGTTGATTTTTCTGATTTTTTTTTAGTTTAAATAGTGATGCAGAAAATTGCTTTTGGGGTCTGTCATAAGATTTGATGAAGATCTAATTTACTACCACTTTCAGTCACTTATGTGGACCTCTATGCTGTATCGTTCTCTGCGACACAGATAAATATAAGGGGCTGAGTACTCACATGCAGCCTGAGAGCGGAAGCACCAGACTGTGCAAACCTGAAGATGTACTCCTGTCTCCTTATTTCCAGCTGCACCAGGAGTCTGGAAACCACCAGCCCCTATGCATCTGCTGTCAGAGCTGAAGAATGAAAGGAATTGTCCCTTCCTGGCTCTTCTTTACTCTTTCCTTTTGCTGGGGCTCCCCACAGGGGTCGCTTCTCTTTGCGGTAGTTGATCTGGGGGCATGCTCTGTGCTAGAAGGGGAGAGACCTTCAATTTGAATCACCTAAATCTGAATGAAGTTATCAGAGGTCCCATGTGACCACTGATCCAAGATGGGCTTTCCAGTTCAATTTTATTAGTAATAATGCTACTATTTATCCAATGCCAGCTATCTGTGTTAAACTGGCTTCCAAACTCAAAGGAAACAGAATAAGTAGAATTTTGGGATAAGAGCCTCTAACATATTTTCTATTTTGACTCCCTGCTCTACCCCCATCTTCATTAAAGAAAACATTTAGCATCTAATTTACCTGGTTTGTACTGGTAGGATCACTTGAGGAAGATTGTTTTATTGTAGTCGCTAGTGGGAGCCAGTTTTATACTGTGCTCTTCCAGCTGAAAGAACCTAAATCATGTCTAACCCCAAATCCTAGTAAAGTTAGGCTATGATTAGAATAAGTATCCTTCTGGCTTCAGGATGCTGTCTTAATTACTGTTCTATTGTGTGAGTAGACACCATGACCAAGGCAACTCAAAAAAGGAAGCATTGAATTTAGTGCTTGCTTACGATTTTAGAATGTTAGTCAGTGATCACCATGGCAGGCAGCAGACAGGCCTGGTGAAGGATCAGTAACTGAGAGCTTTACATCCTGATCCTCATGCAGCAGGCAGAGAGAAGAGGTGGGGGGGGGGGAGAAGGGAGGGAGGAAGGAGGGAGAGAAGAAGAGAGGGAGAGGGAAAGCCCAGGGATGGTGTGGGCCTTTGACTCTCAAAGCCCACCCCAGCAACACACTTCCTCCAACCAGGACACACTTCCTAATCCTTCTAATCCTTCCCAAACAGTTTCGCTACCTGGGATCAAGCATTCAAATGTATGAGCTATGTGAGCTATTCTCATTGAAACCACCAGAGACTCCATTCCATACTCAGGTTCTGTCGAGGCTATTGAGGTAAGTAAGGTAAACTATGAGACTATTCAATCAGGTCTACAGATTTCACTGAATTAAACAACCCCCCACAAATGAGTTAACATTATAGTGTGTCTTTCGGAAGCTGTAAGTAAGCTGAGAGGGCTAGCAAATGACTAAGAACTTGTGCTTTGGAGCTACAAAATGGAATAATGAGAATATGCCTTGAATATCAGGTAAATTAAGATTCTATAATGGCTTGGAAGGGAGATTTGCAGATAGAAATATCTGAAAAAGAAGTTACAATCAGATTTTGCAAAGAAATCTCTCTCATAATTAGGAAATAAGAAGGATTTAGGTTTGTGGCAGTGAGACGGATGGGGAAAAGATGAAAAAGGAATTTTAAGGTTGGGAAAAAGGCAGGCAAATATTTGCCTAGAAAACAGAGTGATAAATAAGCGTACAGAAAGAGACAAAGAATGTTTCTGGAATTATTTCTTTACATTTCTTTTTAAACAAAACATTTTGAGTATCTTTTACTGGGTTAGTAGTCATGTATGACTTATTCTATAAAATGGAATGAGAGCCTACGTCACAGTTCAACCACTCAGGAGGCGGAAGTGAAAGGGTGGCCTGGGACGTATCATGAGATGCTGCCTCAAAAACAAATTTCTTTTAAAGACTCTTCAGAGAATTGTTTTAAGGAATAAATTCATTATAAAGGTCGAGTTGTGTTTAAGTGTAAAAAAAAACACATATATGTTTTATTTGTATATACATTTATGTATGCACAAAATATATCTGAAAGACACATACAGGATGCTGTCTTTGGAGAGTATCACTAAGGGGGAAGTAATTAAAGACATTCCATTTAATTTATGGATATTGTTCCAGTTTCACTTTCTGAAAATGAAATGTATTATCCCTGTGGAAAAGAAATTTAGGCTAATGGAAATTACTAAGTTAAAAAGGCAGAAAATTAGTTGGTTATTACTTGGAGATTAATAGTTGAATATACCAAAACTTTATGAGGTAGCAAAAATGAACCTTACATTATAATTAGCTTACCAAAGTTTGCAGGTGCTGTAGCAGTAGTTTTTGCGTCGCATCGGCACAATGAGAGAAAGGCAAGTTAGGAAGCTTTTGTGCATAGCAGGTGGTATTAAAAAGAGGTGAAGTGTTTAAGTTCTACTCATCTCAATGAAGACATTGCCTCTACAACAGTAGTCTCAACCTTCCTGGTGCGGAGACCCTTTAATACAGTTCCTCAGGGTGTGGTGACCCCCAGCCAAACAATTATGTTCAATACTACTTTATAATTGTAATTTGGCTACTATTATAAATCGTAATATAAGTTTCAGTGTTTTCTGAAGGTTTTAATTACTCCTAACCCCAAAGGGGTAGTGACCTACAGATTGAGAATCACCATTGTAGAGGCTTCAGAGACAAATTCCTATCTGATATTGATGACCACAGCTCAACTGCCTTTCTCCAATGATGGAGCATTAGAAAAGAAATTCCTGGCCACCCTGAAGACTTCGCAGTGGAGCAGTGGCTGCTAAGGTTTGTTGGATCCCTATTCTGTGTCAAGAGTTCAGCATGTGTGTCAACCCTACTCAAAACACCAACTTTGTTTTGAGGAAACAGGTTTAGTTAATTAAATTCTTTGCTCAACAATCCACAGATGGTATGTGCTAATAGGTCTGGGTGTTTTCGATGTCCAAACTGGCAGTTTCCTAGTAAGAGTTTCAGATCAACATGGGCAGTTAGGGATTCTTTGATTTGAGTGGCCAGGTATGTTTTACCTCGAGGTTTAAAAGTCTTACCTGTTCATCTACCTCTTGAAGGTGATCAACGTCAGCACCGTTTGTTTCAACCTTCCCACAAGTGCCACTAAGGGATGAACTGCTGTCGCTTATGCTGCCTTCAGGAGCACCCGTGACACTGTCGCTAGCCGGCCGGCAAGACACAAACAGGCTGAGATTCTCGAAATCGTCATCACAGAATCTGTTCTCACCATCCACCTTCTGCTCCTTCGCTGGGTTGTAGGGCTTTAGGAAGGAGGAATACACGTAGCCTTTCACAACTGGCAGAAGGAAAAAGCAAGCACCAGGGTTACACGTTGACCTTCCCTGAACACGCAGAGACCCCTGGGAAAATCTCCACCTGAAGAGCGGTTGTAGGTCTGTGGGAAAAGAAACTTACATCCTGTGTCGACAAACCACCTGCTTGTACTCCCCAGGGGATCCTTCTGTTCCAGGACGGCTACCAACTCTCCTTCCAGAAGATTGATGTCGTGCTCCTGGGTGGCATTGCACTTGCGTTTAGCTCGGTAGAGTTCCTCTGCTCCGTATGTGGACAGAAGTTTGGAGCGGTGATCGTCAGTTTGATGTGGCACCTCTGGCTGGGAAAAGGAAGAATTCTGATTCAGGGGAACATGCAGTGAAATTGCCATTGAGCCTATCAAGATTTTCTTCTGGAAGATTATTTCTCAATATAAGTTATATGCCAATCTGGATTTATTAAAAGGCAGATGCTCCTGTCAGCTGAGATTTTCAGTTAAAAAATCTCAAGTAAGCACATGAGGGCAGTGTTGTAGAAAAGAAAGAAAATACAACCAGGGCTAAGAACACAGAGGCTCTGGGGCTGGCAAGGTGGTTCAGAGGATAAAAGCAGCCCCCCCCCAAAATCTCAGACCTGGGTTCCATCATCAGAACCCACACAGTGGAAGGAGAGAACCCGTTCCCATAATGGGGACCTCCAAATGTATTCCTCTGTGTATCTGTGTGTGCACAACATACATACAGATAGACAGACATACACACACACTACACACACAGGAAAAGTAAATAAAATTGTAAATTATAAAACAGGTTTACAGAAGGCAGAGGTTCTAACAACTCCTGACTGTTGATATTTGACTATTTCATATTTACATTCTTGCATAGTAAATAGTTTATCATTTTAATTCAGTAAATTGCCTATGTGCATCTCACTCCCCTTCCCTGGGTAAACAAGGCAGGAGTTGCAAAAAGACACTTTCCAAACCCTGGCACTAAGAGAGCTTGAGAAAAGCACTATATCTCTGGCGGCTGGAAATTAAACAGGTTGCAAACAAGGGGCTGCACTATATGATTGCTCTCTTTAAAATCCCAGGAAACAAAATCTGAGTATCCACTGTGCATCCAACTTGTGTTTCGGCATGTTAAGGAATTATCATGAATGAAACAGAAACAAACATCACACACTTATGGAGTTTATCATAGAAGAGATAGAAACAGAGAATAAAGCTTAACAAGCAAATGACACATTATTTGGATGAAGCCATTGGTATGGGAAGCAATCCGCTTCGATTTGGGGGAGGCAAAGAGATGCTGTCGGCACTGTCACAGACAAGGCTAAACTCACCAGACTCTGAGCAGTCTTCTTCTTTTCAAAGCTAAGTTTCCTCTCAATGAAGGTGGCACTGTTGTCCTTTACAAAACTCAGGTTTTGAACCTCTTCCAGCACTCGATTTTGAATCTCTGAGATGCTTAAGACCGGCAGAGGCACCTGTAGGAGAAACAGTGTGGTGTTTTCAGACACGCGATCACACTGAGCCTTGACTCTGCCAGGGTGGTGGTGATGGCGGGCATGGAAGACAGTGCCACAGAGAAAAAATCTAGGCACCTTGAGAGCTTTCATAATGATGGGCGATCTGGTATTTCTGAAGCCACACAAAATGGTATGGATACTTTTCCTTTTTAAGTTTCAAGACTCCATAGGAGAACAAAATACAAAAAGGGGCAAGAAAGACCCAGGAGTAGAGTTCAGAAGATGTGGAGTTAGCAGCGCCCCAGGTGGGACAGCGGGAGTGTGCAGGGAAAGAGGCTACAATAAGAAGCATGTTTAGGCATGTACATGTGTTTGTCTTATATGTTTAGCAAGTATGGAAGCTGGAAGCTAGGAAGGGGCAGATGTTGAGGAGGTGCATACAGGGACAGGAATAGTAGAGTAGAGGTGAAATGAAAGTAGAGAGGGGGTTACCTGGGGGCCCAGGCAGAAGGGGTCGAGCAGGCCAGAAAAGGCTTAAACATAATGCAGAAACGATTTGGCGCCTATGCTCTTTCAAACCACATAAAAAATATAATAGGACATAGAACATATGTGATTTGGATGATAGGGGAGAATATTGGGAGCTAAAGGTTCTAGCAGGAATAGGATAGGTAGGCATGTAGGGGATGAGGATGTGTTAACCAAAACTAAGAGTATATGAAGAAACCTTATTAAGCCCACTAGTTTGTAAGTGAATTGAAAATACAGCTTTTTAAAAATGAGTTTAAATCATAGTATCTCCCATATCAGTGAATGATACTGCTCCCAGAAGACACGAGTCACAAAATAAAAATCTCAGAGCCAGTCATGGACTCCTCCCTTTGGGTTCTTGGGCAGAAAGACCTCAGAGGCACCCAGAACAATACAGGCTGTTGCTGCTGTTCCGTGTTGCCTCCCTAGGGAGATGGCAAGGCTGTATTACGGAAGGTATCATGTGCTTTGGTTGCAGGACACAAGGAAATATATCTTGAACTGACCAGGAAACTCTTCTTGATGACTAGCTTTTGTCTTAGCCAGGATTTCTATTGCTGTGAAGAGACACCACGGTGATGGCAACTCTTAGAAAGGAAAACATTTTCGGGCTGACTTACAGTTCAGACGCTTAGTCTGCTATCATCATGGCAGGACATGACGACATGCCTGCAGACATAGTCTTTAAAACTACACAATTCAAAACCAGAAGGACATCTGAATGACTTATACTTAAACAACAACACACAAGGGCCACACGTCTACACTCTGAAGGAGGAGTGAAGTTGAGGTGGCCAAGGGGTAGCGCTGTGCTCACTGGCTTCACTGTCGAATAAGCCTGCAGAGCCACCAGCATCAAGTCCCGGAGGAGGGTGATAAAGCTACACAGGCAGTTCAACAGGATCTTCCTGGCGGCCTGGTTGAATGCCTGGAGCTCTTCCACAAGTTGGGCGTTGAGGGCCTCATACTCCCTTTTGGCCAAGTCTGATTCGTCGGCTGCTGACCGCGGCAGGGAGCTATTGCAGTCAAGTAGTTTGTCGTAGCGCTTTTGGATGAGCTTCTGAGGTCCTGGGAATAAGGACAGCAAGGCTGACAGGGGGCTCAGGATGAGTCTCTGAGAGCGAGCTACCTGCAAAAGAAAAATACGCAAAGTGCAGGCACATTAACCAAGAGAAGGATGGCTCACTCTGTGACAAATGATACCCTCAGTAGGCCTATCTCCTTCTCTCTTCTGAAGCTCAAAGTAAACAGGGCAGCACCCAGTCATTTGCAAAGAGGATCTCATATTGCGGGGGTGGGGGGAAGGCTGCCTAAGCTTCTTTATTCATACTTAAACCAACATTGAACCTGAGGATGAGTGAGAAGAGAAAGTCTGCTCATAAACATCACAACTATTCTGCCTACAGCTGTGCCTCGGATGCCTCCTTCAGGACCCTCCCTCTTGCTCCCTTCTTGCCCCAGAGCCAAGCTGAGTTATCAGGCTACGTCAAGGTTGGGAGGAGCTGACATCAGTGTGTGGCTATGATTGACCAGCTCACCACTCCACCTCTTGCTGTCAGCAAAATGTGCACAAGCATTCTAAGGAGAGATTCTTACACCCCTTTGTGTCGGTTCCAAGTCTGCTTTTTAATCTCTAGGTTTCTTTTTGGATGGAATTGTATTCCCCAAGCAAGCATTGGTTCTTTAAATGTATATCTTATGCCTGTGACAGAAATGACCAGAGCTAAACATTTAAATACACGTAAGGCTTGAGGACAGCTGACTTGGTTTCTGAAACGTCTGCATTTTCAGCTCTGAGACATTAAAGAAAAATCTTATTGCATTAGTACCCAACAGCATGCCAGTACTCAAGAATCCTAGATTTTATTTCTTCTCTTCTTATGTTTTTCCCTGTGTTCTGAAATGCCATTTTATCCCATGTCTGATGACAACCCTGTCTTACACCTTATCACACACGTTATAGGAATCTGGAAGTAGTTTTATCATTTGTGACCTCAAGGATAGTCCAGGAAATCGAAGCAACAGCCTGTATTAATTAATGTAAATGGTTTCTGCTAACTCTGTCTAAACTCATGGGAAATTTGAAAGAGGGAACCTCATCTGTTAGTGGCACCCGTGATAACCAACACAATTAGATTTGATTTCTAGTTTATGAAATAATCAATAGATACTAGCCCACCACTTAATGAGCCCCAGGACTAGGCAGCAGATGCATTTACTGTATCTGGGATAAGTCACTGTGTTTATTCCTTGGCTGGGAGCCACAGTTTCCTAATTTGATGATTATTATTATAATGTATGTCCAATGTCCATAGTTATGAACTTTATTTGCCAGAGGGACAGTAGTTGGGACAGATAAGCAGGTTGCATTTTAGAATTTTGTGTTACACAGTATTTGTAGAAAAGGATCATTTATGGCTGGATAGGAATAACTTCTCTGCCCTGAGGTAAACTTTTGAGTTAATATTTCCGTTTCAAAGAATTTGGTGTGCTACCCAATAAAATGCCACTTTTCTCCCACACTTTCTGGTGATTCTTCTAACTTAGCAGATGTAATATTATTTTATCAGGGCAGACGGGGCAATTTCTTCCTTCTTTCTGTCAAACTGTGAAGCATGCTTGCTAAGGGAGAAGTTATGGAGCATGTGCTCAGACGGTTTTGATAAATACTTATCAACTTAGTGAATTGAAATTGAGCAAACGCTAAATGGCTTTTCTAAAATGTCCTTCCTATAATTTAACCCTGAAAAAAAATACCAGGACCTAGTCATGTTTTCCTGATAAACCCATGGGTATAAAAACCTTTGTCTATTAATCGACCTATACATCCATCTGCCCATTCCTGAGTAACTTATGCTCTATCACTTTATTTTGGATAGTATGATATTTAGTCTTCTTACATTTAATTTTTTACTTATTTTGTGTTCCTGCTAGAGAACTTTATTTATTGTAAAGAGTGCAAGTAGAGGTCCGAAGACAGCTTGTAGGAGTTGGTTCTTTCTGCTGCATGTATCCTTAGGATCAAACCAGGCTTTTGGCTTGTTACCCATTGAGGCACCTCCCAGGCCTTTTAAGATAGTACATTCATTTTCTTTTATTTTTTATACATGATAATGGTAAATCTTGATTGTTAACTTGACAGGATTTAGGATTGCCCAGGAGACCAACTTCTGGGCATGTTCATGAGGATTTTGGCACTCACCTTTAATCCCAGTTCTTGGGCAACAATAAAAGGCCATGCTCTGTTGCGTTAAAGGCCAGCCTGGTCTGCATAGCAAGTACAGATCTATTTATCAAAAGGATGTAATCCCAACTTTCTGTGTTATAATGCCAAAACCAGCTTATTCAGTAGTCCTGCAGTAGGATGCAGACGGTGTCACATCCTAAGGTTTGGAAATATTTGGGAGCTCATTGGTTGAAGATTATTTTGAGATTCGTGGGCTAGGACTGCTAGAATCATCCAACACAAGAGCTAGTTGGAGAAGACAGTCTGGGCCTAATTCTGACACAGCCAACATAGAAATATGGCTTATTATGCTTTCCCCAAAATATATTAAATACGTTATGACATAATAACATAAGACACCAAACTGAAATTAGCATTACCCAGGAAAGCTTACCACTCAAACTTTAGTCAAGAATGTTTTTATACTCCACAACATGTATTTTATAGAACTCTTAAAAACAAATAGTCTATGAAGGAATATAACACACTGGCAGAGTGCTTGCCTAGCATGTGTGAGTTTCTAAGTTCATCCCCCAGAACAAGAAAGGAAGTAAGGGAGGGAGGGAGGGAGGGAGGGAGGGAGGAAGAGGGAGGGAGGAATGAAAGAAAGAAAGGAAGGAAGAAACAAAAGAAAGAAAGAAAGAGAAGAAAGGAAGGAAGGTAAGAAAAGGAAGGAAGAAAGGAAGGAAGGAAGGAAGGAAGAAAGGAAGGAAGGAAGAAAGGAAGGAAGGAAGGAAGGAAGGAAGGAAGGAAGGAAGGAAAGAAGAAAGAGAGAATCTATTATGGGTAGGAAGAATATCTGATCGTTAAGTGTGTCTTTTTTCAATGGGAAGGCTTTGGTGTCCAGCGCACATTGTGCTAAAAATCACAGACAGGGAGAATCTGTTCTCCTTCAGTACGTACTCAAGGATTTCCCTCTACTTCTTTAAGTTACAGCTTGCTGAGGCAGTGGTGGTGCAAACCTATACCCCCAGCACTCAAAGGCAGAGGCAGGAAGATCTCTGTGAGTTCAAGGCCATCCTAGTCTGCAGAGTGAATTCCGGGACATCCAGGGCTGTTATGCAGAGAAACTCTGCCTCAAAAACAAAGCAACATGAAACAAACAACCAAAACCCAAAACCCACAGCTTTACAAACTAATATATTATTAATATCTCATACACAGACTCAAACTGAACATTGTTCAAGTATCTGTTTCTTCAGACACTGACCACCCCAGACAGAGGATGAGATTGTGTTATATTTCCATTATAGTACAATCCTTAGTAATTGTACCATTGAAGGGTGGATATGGGAGCAGGGTAATAAATATCGTAATTAAGGGAGTCATTTTAGGGTTTGCAAGAGACTTGACTCTAGAAGGGTTTCCAGGTCCAAGGAGAGGTACCCAGATTGTTCCTTGGGCAGCAGAGGAGAGGGTGGCTAAACTGGCCTTGTCCCATAGCCACACTGATGAATATCTTGCATATCACCATAGAACCTTCATCTGGCGATGGATGGAGATAGAGACAGAGACCCACATTGGAACACTGAACTGAGTTCCCAAGGTCCATATGAGGAGCAGAAGGAGGGAGAACATGAGCAAGGAAGTCAGGACCACGAGGGGTGCGTCCACCCGCTGAGACGGTGGGACTGATCTAATGGGAGCTCATCAAGGCCGGCTGGACTGGGAATGATGGAGCATGTGGTCACACTGGACCCTCTGAATGTGACTGTCAATGAGGACTGACTGAGAAGCCAAGGACAATGGCATTGGGTCTTCGTTCTACTGCATGGACTGACTTTGTGGGAGCCCGGTTTGTTTGGATGCTCACCTTTAAATACCTTGTTGGAGGGGGGGAGGACCTTGGACTTCCCACGGGGCAGGGAACCTTGACTGCTCTTAGGACTAGAGAGGGAGGGGGAGGTGGGGAGGGGGAGGGAAAAGGGAGGCGGGGAGGAGTTGGAAATTTTTACTAAATAAAAAAACATAGGTAATTATTTAAAAACTCCTGTTTCAAAAAGTCCAGTTTTGAGACTATCTTTGATTTAGTGAATATTTTGTACCTAACTGCAGTGTGTGTGTGTGTGTATGTGTGTCAGAGAGAGAGAGAGAGAGAACAAAGCTTTTAAACAGCAGGTGTTTAGTTTGTATTTGTCTGTGTGTGTAACTTACAAAGTCTTGGCAGGGATTGGAAGCGTGGTTTTGGGGTTCCCCGCTGTTCGTCTCTCCATCCTTGTATGAGATCTCACGGAGTTCCGCCACACTCTGCAGAGGGAAGGGCATGGCCTGCTGAAACAGATGATAGAAAGGGTGAGTGCTGAATGATGTCAGCACATTAACGTCTCCCCAGTGTGAGCTTCATCATCGATGCTAAATTTCCCCGAGAGACAGAAAACGTTCTCTATAATTATCATGGATGCCATAGTCAGGGTACTTGCAGCTCTTGATTTCCTTCCCCTCCTCCCATCATTTCTGACAGGTTCTTGCTCTCTTGGAGTAGGAGGAGCCCATCTTAAATTCCCTCAGCCATTCCTCCGCCTTTAATTCGTCAGATTCCTTATTTTAAAAAGAACTCCTCTTTGATTTAATCGGCAGCTTTTCTTGGTAAATTTAATATTATCTTTCAGGGGGAAAAAAGGTGCTCACAGTTTTGTGGGTTCAATCGGTGAAAACACCTGTGCCTGCGCCTCGCGGCGCTCATTCCTTGAGCAATACCTGCAGGGCTGCCGTGTCCCACAGCTGTGTCCCACTGCAGCCGTGTCTGGGGGCTGACTTCACAGAGGTTTACTAACCTGACTGTGCAATGGACTCTGGGTGTGACTGTAAGGATGGATGGTCCTCATCCCTCCAGAATATAGAACCCTGTCTCCAAAGCAGTATGATGGTCACGTCAACGCTCTGCTGGGAGGATGTTTTATCTAACTCTGCAAGCTCTTAGCTCCAAAACCAGATACTCACGAGGAAAACTTCTGGGCTCATTAACTGATTTCCGTGTAACTGCTAACTTCCTATCCTTCAAGTCAGAGCTGGTGTCAAGTTGTTTTCAAGGACACCGTGTCCTCTGGAAGATCCATTACAAGAAACCCTTGGCCAGCTTTTCCAACAAGTATAATTGTTCAGTTTTCCACCTTAGGGGGTTTTAAAAGCAGAGATGCTCAAGCAGGTCGGGACAACCTCCCAAGAGGCTAGAAATATGGAGGGTGTTCTTGTGCTCCACTTCAACTGCACAACAACGTTTACTTCTCACGGTTTGTGTTGTTCTCTAGTTCAATTCGTTTTCCTTTGTATGGGATTTTTACCCTTATTTTATCAACTACAAAGAATTATATTGATAAAATCAGACTACCCAGTGCCTGCCTCACATACAATATAGTGCTCACAAATTCATCTTTATTATAAAGAAGAAACGATGGGAGTCCATATTGTATGCATCTGAACAAAAGTCCAACGATACAGTGATTCGGACTGGGGCAGGCTGGAGCAGGAAGTGGGCACAGACCAAGCCTTTATATGGCTTGCCACATCAGAACTTTGCAGCCTCCCAAATCTGATACAGTTTAGTTCAGCACACAAATGAAGAGTCACATTTCCTCACACCTCCCGTGGGAACTGGTGTTCTCCTGAAGCCTCATTCGCAGTTCACCCACCTCTATGTGCTGAAGGCAGGATGAGATGTGCTTCATGCAAAGCCTCAGAGTCTTCTCTAGTGACCTAAAAAGCTTTTCTTCCCTGTTAAAGGTATTGTCTTTCACCTAAAACACACGAGAGATTACTTAGTTTCACGACTCAAATGCATTTATTATTTTTAACATGGTACAAAATACATACAAAATTAAAGATGGCACAGACCACATTGACCCAGGACATGGTGAAAAAAATCCCTTGCTGTATGAAAACATTCTGTGATATGCTGACTTCCACAACAAATCTTTCTGGATCCACATGTAGCACAAACTAATGTCCAACTAGTGTTGTAAGTCATGTCATGAAGTTTGATTTGTTGTTTATTTTGTATCTTCTCACCCATGTCACAGCAGTCATGGAACTGCAAACTTTTTCCTTCTTCTCCTTCTCCTTCTCCTTCTCCTTCTCCTTCTCCTTCTCCTTCTCCTTCTTCTTCTTCTTCTTCTTCTTCTTCTTCTTCTTTTGTATTTCTTCTTCCTCCTCCCTCCTTCCCTCCCTCCCCCCCCCACTCTCTCTCCCTCTTTCTTTCTCTCTCTCCTCTCTGTGTGTGCTCATGTGTTAGGGGTGGGTCACATATCCATCCCTTCAGAAGAGGACATCAGGTGTCCTACTCTGTCATCCTCCGCCTTTGTCCTTTGAGACAGAATCTCTCACTGAACCTGGAGCTGACAGGTAGCAAGCTCTAGTGATCTTACTGTCTCCACCTCTCACGGTACTGCGGTTATAGGAGAAGGTAGCCATAGACGGTTTTTAACATGGGTGGTGAAGATTCAAAATCATTATTGCATGCCTGCACAACAAGTGCTCTAACCCATGGAGCCATGTCCCTAGCTCCCTCTATAGTTTTTTTTTTAAGTTTTCTTTATTACATGTCTGGGAGACACTGTGTACATGCGTGCAGCTGCCCACAGAGCACAGAGGTGTTAGATCCTCTCTGAAGCTGGAGTTAGAGGAGGTTGTGAGTCATCCAATGTGGGTGATGGGGACAGAATTTGGGACCCCTTTAAGAACAGCAAGTGCTCTTAACCATGAAGCCCCGCTCCTGTAGGTTTTAGTAGCATATATTGTATCCTCAAATTATACTGTCTATTGTTTAGTTCATAGAATCTGTTCTGGTTTATCTCACAGAGCTGATACAGAAAATATTCTTAGACCTATCATTGAAGAAAGGAGGTAAAATCGCTTCAAACATGAAAGGTGATCTATAACTTTAGCTCTTCTGCTGGAGCACATTTGCAGAGAGCTTAGATGGTTGTCACATGTATTCAGCTGTGTTTGTCATCTTACATGTGATATCTATTAGCATTGCACGAATGCATTGTGTTTTTATTCACCTTTAGCAATATTTAGAGATACTCACATTGTTATTGATGATGATCTTTATTTATTGCAACCAAAATGTCTATCAGAACCTATCAAAATATCTATCAAAGCTGCAGTGGTGAAGCTTTTATGAACAGGCACATGGAATGCTACATGGAATAGAGTGTGTTTAGTTCATGTCTGTACTTGCTAACAATTGTGCTCTCCTTAGTCCATGTGTTTATTCATTTCACATAGAGTGGACCTCAGACGTGTGTGTGTGTGTGTGTGTGTGTGTGTGTGTGTGTAATCTTTTATTTATTTTTGAGTCCCTTAGTTTTACTTGTGTGGGAAAACCTCAGTTAAATAGGCAGCAGAATTCATCACCCAGTATCCTTATATCTTTGGTCCAACTCTACAGGTACACATACCAATGTGCTTGGACAGACTGCTGTAAATGGAGTTTCAAAAGATACCACCTCCTGGTATTTTATTCTGTGTACCTAGCTAGGACCCCGATGACTCTGAAGTAGGCACTAAGGATTCCACTGTGAGAAGTGTTGCCCAAGCCTGCCTCCCATACTAAATCTTTCTCATGCTATTTTAAGGAAATATGCTGCTGCCCTTTCTCTGCCTTAGAATTCTGTTTGTTTTTAGGGATGAGACTCAAGAGTTGCTCATTCTGTGAATACTACTTTCAAAACTATTTTTCACATTGAAAAAAATTAATTTCTTCCTCCTATGTGCTCTTATGACCTTAGGTAATTATCTAAGCAATTTTCTCCATTGATACAGTCTAAGTATTTAAGATTAAAATGTCTGTCTTAATAATAATAACTAACATTTATTAAGCATTAATTATATGCAGATACTGTGCCCAAACCTTTCATTTACTTTATTGTTCTAATTCTTACACAACTTTATGGGGCAAGCATTATGATTAATTCCATTTTAGAGATATTAGGGATGTTAATGTTCCCCTATTGTCCTTCCAATGGCAAAGCTGGAAACATTAGATTAAGTTGGAGATATGGCTGCCCTGCCAAGTGCCCCATTTCCCAGACTCCTTTGCAGCTAACTCTGCCCATGTATCTGAATTTGAACAAATAGAGTGTGAAGGAGGTGTTGTGTTTCATTTCTAAGTCTTGGCCTTGTGGCACTGTCTGTGGGATTTGGAGGGAGACACAGTAAGGACCTAGTTTCTATTAACTGAAGACAATATGGTTAAGAAAAATGCCATATGAAATTTGGCAAACTGGGTTCCTGGAAGATTTTATGAAGCAGAGCCCATCTGCTTACATCTCAGGATTATTATCAGAGATAGAATAGTATCCTATGTTCTATTTGCTGTGGTATTTTTTTTTTACTATGTTATGCTATGTTATGCTGTGCTGTGCTTGAGAATCTCTTTTTTGACAGATACATTGTCTTTGCCCCAAAGTAGCAAGTTAGAGAAACATATTTATAGATAAGATTGGGATTAAAAAAAAAGCAGCCTGAATTCTAGATCTATACCTGTTCATCTTTGTGTTCCCAATCTCTCACACAGTGCCCAGTACACGAAAGTTCAATACATATATGATGGATTGGATAGAATCTTCCTCCTGGGTAATAGCTTTACACCCTAACTCTACCAATATTTCACCTGAGCTGCTGACAAGTACAAAATTGATTGATTTGAGATTTATCTCTTCTCCAGTTCAGCCTATGCAGCTGATTTTCTGATTAACAGTGAAATGCTTCATTGCTGACAGGACATCCTCTATGAAGATTAAGAGGAAAAATCTAATTAATATCCCTTCATGCTATTTTAGCTACAATTCACTTTTAGTTCACAGTTAAAAAAAAAGGTTCTGATAAATATGCGAAAGAATATAATGGTCCCCACAAAAGTCTGCCCCACATTAGAAGCTGCCCGCTCTATTCAATAGAACTGTCTTGAGGAAGAAGCAAAATCGCAAAGCATGGGCGAGAATCTCTGCACACATTTATAAATGCCTACGGGGGCTACTGTCTCCTTAAGCTCATTTCCAATTTGATTTTATTACTGTTGCCTTTAGTTGAAATGACCCAATTATCCATTTCCTGATCAGTCACCATGCACTATTAATTTCCCAAACTTCTCACAATATAGTTGCATATCAAGCCTCTTTTTGTAATGGACCTGGTGAATCCCTAGAAAATTATAAAGAAATAAATACAATGTTGGTAACAACTATGTACCTCACAAGTGGTAAAGTCACTGAAGCCACAAAGAAAATGAGAAGAAAAAGATGACAATATTACACCACCCTCCTTTCAGCGAGGATGAAATTTCTCCTTTCACCAGATAATGAATTTTCTTTCATTCTTAATATTTGTTCTACTGATCACTTCCTTCAGATTCATTAGCCCCAAAACTCCTGGGTTGTCTGTATAAATACAGGGTTCTAGGCTGTACCATTAAGATAGGTGGAATTCTATAACCTGTCTTTTGAAATTATCTCATGTGATTCTCCTTAAGCAGATTAAAATTTAGAAGTCTTTGAAAATTCAGCTATTTATAAGAGGTTGGGATTTGATGTGGGATGCCCTTCTGTTTATGTGTTGTTGTTGTTGGTTGATGAATAACACTGTTTTGGCCAATGGCTTAGCAGAGTAAAGACAGGAGGGAAATCAGAACAGAGATAAATAGATAGATAGATAGATAGATAGATAGATAGATAGATAGATAGATA